ATGTGTTTATTTGTTTCAGTTGCCCATTTTTTGATTGGTTCTTTTATTTGGAAGGGGCTCTGGTTTTTTGAGTTCTTTATATATTTTAGCTATTCATTAGTCCTCTGTCTGAGGAATACCTGGCAAAATTTTTCACTCTGGAGGTTGTCTCTTTATTCTGTTGGTTGTTTCTTTTGCTGTGCAGAAGCTTTTTGATTTGACATAATCCTACTTGTTGATTCTTTTTCTTTCTCTTTTCTTCTTTTTTTTTGGTCTTTTTGAGATAGGGTCTTGCTATGTAGTTCAGGCTGGCTTTGAGCTCACTTTGTAGCCCAGTCTAATCTCGAACTTTCAGTGATCCTCCTGCCTCAGCCTCTTGAGTGCTGGGATTACATGTGTGTGCCACCATGCCTGGCTGTTTGATTCTTGATGTTATTTCTTACGCCATTCGGGTTCTGTTCAAAAAGTTGTAGACTGTACATATGTCTTCAAGTTTCACCTATTTTATCTTCCAGTGGATTATTTCTGTTATAATATCCAGGTCTTTGATCTGTTTCGATTTTATTTTATCGATATGGGTCTAGATTCAGTCTTCTCCATGTAGATAGCTAGTTTTCCCAGCACCATTTGTTAAGGAGAGACTATCTTCCCTCTAGCATATGTTTTGGCCCCGTTGTCAAAGACCAAGTGGCTGAATGATCCCCAGGGTTCTTTCTACATCCTCTATTCTGTTCAATACCATGCTGATTTCTTTACTGTAGCTTTGTAATATGACTTGAAGTCCAGCATTGTGATGCCTCCTGCTTTATTCTTGTTACCCAGGATTGCTTTGCTATTTTGGGCCTCTTCTGTTTCCCTATGAATTTTAGGATTGCTTTTTCTTGTTGAGGTATGCTGTTGTTATTGATTGGGATTGTATTAACTGTATATGTCAGTTTTAGAAGTATGGCGATTTTAACAATACTTTTTTTTGTTTGTTTTTATACTGGGAGTCAAACTCGGGGCCTTATGCTTGCCAGGCAGGTGCTGTGCTGCTGAGCTGCATCACTGATCCCATTTTAATAATACTTGAAGACCCAACTTTTAGTTTACTAATTTTCTTTGTTATTTTTGTATTGGCTATTTATTTCATCATCATTATTATTTTCATTTCTATTTTCTTGTTTGTGGTAGTTGGGGTTACATTCAGGGGTGCCCTACCATTAAACTCAAACCCCAACCCCAAGTATGTACATATGTATTTTTTTTTTTTTTTCTTCGTTTTTCTCCGGTACCGGGAACCGAACTCATGACCTTGCGCTTGCCAGGCAGGCACTTTGCCGCTGAGCTAAATCCCCAGCCCTTGTACATATGTATTTTGGCAACAGGGTCTCACCATGTAGTGTGGGCTGGACTTGAACTATGTTGCGCAGACTAGCTTCAAGCCTGCCGTGATCCTCCTGCCTCAAGCTCTCAAATGATGGCATTACAGGCCTGTGTTACCATGCCTGGCTCCTTTTTATTTTTACTTTGGAGATAAGGTCTCCCTAAGTTGCTCAGGCTTCCGTGAACTTCTGGTTCTCTTGACTGGGATATGGGTATGTGCCAGTGCTCTCAGTTCTTTCCTATTTTCTTAAGGTGGCAGTTAGTTTATTGATTTGGGATCTTTTCTCTTTCTAAATACAGCCTTTTACAGGTATAAAGTTGCTTCTGAGTACTTATTCAGCTATGTCCTATATATTGTTGTGGTGTTTTTCTTCATCTCAAAATATAATCAATCTCCCTCCCTCCCTCCCTTCTTCTCTTCCTCCCTTCCTTCCTTCCTTCCTTCCTTATTACTGATTCTTTATTCGCTTATGTTTTCCTCTGAGTCCTTCTAGTAAATTTTATTTTGGTTAATGTAATTTCAGCACCTGAATTTTTATAGTTTTTACAACTTGTACCCTGTTTTGGGTATTTTGTATTGTTAAGGCATCTTTGCCATACTTGTTTGAAAATATTTAATACAGCAAATATAAAGTCTTTGCCTAGTAAATTGAACATCTAGGGTTTGTCAACATCTGGGCTTTGACAGTTTCTACTATTTTCTGATGACCATGGTTTGCTTCTTTGCATGTCTCTCAACTCTTCGTTGAAAACTGGGATTTTAAATAACATGAACTTCTGTGAAGTCTCTATTCTTTTATTGCATGAGGCCATCAAAGTGAGTAAGGCTGTCAAAATTCTGCACAGTTATCCTAGTGGTCAGCACAGTCTGGCAAGTATTTCTTTAAATTTCTAGAAGTGTCAAGGCTACCAGTCTTTCCTTTGAGGTTTTTAATACTTGGTAGGGTCCTTCATGCTCTACCAAGGAGTTATCAACTCTACCTTAATTTTCACTTCCTGCTAACACAGAGCCTCAAGTTCAAACTTGTCTAAGATCTTACCTGAGCAAGCACATGGCCTTCTACATGCCCAGGAATATTTTAAAAAATTTTCAAAGCCCAAATTTTGTACTTGTCACTCATCACCTTTTCCTTTAAGTTGTTGGTTGTCTTGCCTTTTTGTTTTTGGTCTTATCCTGTTATCCCTTCTTTAGGCAGTTGCAATGTTTAAATAATTGTTTTAGATTATTTCTCCCCCCTTCTGTCTGTCTGTCTGTCTGTCTCTCTCTCACACACACGCAGACACACACATATTAGTAGGAGGTGTACAGAGGCTGTTCTGAGTGAGTGATTTCTGAGTTAGGTCAAAATAGGCAACCTTTTAAATGAATTTTCCAGGGAGATGCCAGACATCTGGTCAAATTATGGGACATAGGACTTTGGAAGACCTCAAACTCTGTTGTGGTCCTGGGCTTTCACAGTGATGTATTTAAATCAGGAATGTAAGTATTCATGAGAGTATTTGTGAAGATTTTCAGGAATGTGTGCATTTATTACTATCACTGTAGAATAATTTCTTAATACTCATTACATTGAAATTTCACAGAAATTTAAGTGCATGCATAGTAAGTAGAACAGTGTTTCTCAAACTTTAGCTTGCATTTGAACCCAAGGGAGGGATTAAGACAGATTGCTAGGCTGTAAACTCAGAATTTCTAACATGATTGATTCTGTGAAATGTCTAACAGGTGCTGCTTCTGTAAAATTTCCAGGTAATGCTGATGCTTTTGATTTTGACCACACTGAGAACTATTGGAGTAGAAATGTAGTTGTTGGGGCATCAATCAAGTTTACCTTGTCAGCCTGTCTTGTATGTGTGGGTAGATCCTGCATGTGCACTCTGTACTCTGCACTCGGCACAGGTACAGGTTAGGACACTCATGGGTTTGCATTCAGGGCTTCTTCAGTAAATGGCTAATTTAGAGGGTGTGTCATTCTCAGAGATCATATAGAGTAGGAGGAAAACACTGCAATGTTACACTTTTTTAGTTTGGTTCCTTCAAATATATTATGAATGGTTGTGCTACGGCAGTGGCACTGTTTTCTTCCCTCCAGTGCCAGAGATAAGACAGACTTCACAATTGCTAGGCAAGTGCTTTATCACTGACATACATCTCTAGCTCTTTTTTCTTTTGTTTTAAATTTTAAGTTTTATTGAGCTATAACTTATAATACAGTGTATATGTTTGATACAGGTGTACACCCACATGGCCATCATCATGCAGTGAAGATTTAGAAATAGCTTCATCTCCTCTTGGGCCCTATTGTGAACATTTCCCAATCCCAGCTCCATTCCCAAACAGCTTCTGATCTGCTTCCTTATTACTATTGTTTTGCCTTTTCTAGAATTTAATATAGATGGTTTGTATAATATATACTCAATTTCTGTTTTCTTCTGCTTCATATAATGTTAGCACATGGTCATTGATGTGTCTGTCATTAGCTTACTTTGTGGATGGTCATTATTCCTTTGCATAGTGTATACTATAGTTAATGATTTAGGAAGTTTATCGCTTTTAATTCTTTCATAATGAATATAGCTTTGTTTCAAATAAGTGTGGTAAAATGTACTTTAATAATGAAAGTTCAAAGAAAATTAAAGTTCATTTATATAGTTTTAAAATTGTAGAGTATAATTATTCATTTATATAGTTGTATTATAATTCTTTTCCTGGTCCCTTGTTAATTTAAACTTAGCAAGTTTTTTTAGAAAATATGAGTATAGCTCCATTAAGAACATTTTTCTGGCTCAGGAATTTGAAAAAACCTCGTGAATAGCTAATTTGAAGACAACAATATGCAATGTAACAACCATTGTTGAATTCCTGTCATCTTGTTTAGTGAAATTCTATATCATTTCTAATGTTTTTTTATTATTTTTATTCTCTTTAAAATAAAAACAAGCATTAGATTTTTAAAATTAATTCTTTCACTAAAGAGTAGAAAGTAAAATCTACTTTATGTATATTTACACATTACACACATACACACACACATATTTTTTGTTTGTTTTTATGCAGGGTTTTACAGTGTAATTCAGGCTTGCCTTGAACTTATTATGTAGCACAGGCTGGCTTCGAACTCTCAGTAGTCTTCTTGCCTCAGCCTCCCTAGTGATGGGATTATAGGCATGTGCCAACACACCCAGCTTGATTTGTTTTTGAGACAGGATTTCTATATACAATCCAGGCTGGCCTTGGACTCAGTATTCTCCTGCCTCAGCCTTTTGAGTACTAAGATTACATGCTTGTGCCACCGAGCCTACCTCTATTTGGTCTTTTTGTTATTAATTGCTTTATTTTACCTGAGCTATTAGTATGAATCTGAACGTAAGTAAATTACCTATTAACTCCTTTGCAGTTTGTCTCTTAGAGCTGACCTAAGCAGTTTTCTTGTTTGCTTTTGTTTTTAAGACAGAGTCTCACTATGTAGTGCAGGCAGAGCTTGAACTCACTATGTAGTCCCGGCTGGTGTTGAACTCATGGCGATCCTTCTGCCTCTGCCTCCGGAGTGCTGGGGGTTATAGGTGTGCACCACTATGCCTGGTTTAAGCAGGATTTTAAAGCTTATATATTTTTTTAAATGAAACTGATGAGAATTACTTATTTTGTCTGACAGGCCTTTGGAAATGCGAAGACTGCTCATAATAACAATTCCAGTCGTTTTGGCAAGTTTATTCAAGTAAATTACCAGGAAACAGGCACTGTACTTGGGTAAGTGCTGCAGCTGAGCAGTAATAGGAGGTTGTGGAGCATGTTTATTTTTGTTGTTACTTACATTGTAGCTACAGACCAGTGGTGGCTAACCTATGGCACACGTGTTGTTTTTCCTTTTAAGACAAAAGATGTTAATGTATGAGGTTTTTTTCTAAAGTCTCAGTCAGGTTTAATGGCAATGTGCACACTTTGTGATAAGTAAGTGGGTTTTGGGTTGTGGTTTGGGCTATCATCTCTAAAAGGTTCACCATCACTGCTGTGGACTGTGTGTGACATTTGTGTTTGCATTAAAACTGTCTTCATTTTTTTTTTCTTTTCCCTTTTGGAAAACATCAAACATCAGAAAAGTTGTGAGACTGATCTTAACACTCATGCACCCTTAACTTAGATTAATTGTTAACACTTTGCTGCATTTACTTTGCTCTGTATTCTATTGTGCATACATTCATTGTTTGAATGGTTTTGAAGATGGAGATATACTGTGATTACCTAATTAACTCTATTTCCCAAACAACCACATTTTCTACATATCCGTATTAACTATTCTTATAATTAGGAAATTTAATTTGGTTACAATAATAATTCTTATATAGTCTTACGATCAGAGTCCCTTGGTTGTGCCAACAGAATTCTTTGTAGCTTTAAAAAAACTTAATAGACTCTTATTTTTTAAAGCAGTTTTAGGTTCATTTTTTAGAGCAGTTTTAGGTTCAAAAAATAAGGGGGAAATATAAAGTTCCCACATAATCCTTTCAAACTATCCTTCGTACCCGTACAATTTTCTCCTACTTTAAATACCTTGCACTGCACTTGTACAGCTCCTAGTATTCCTTCAGTTCTTGTACTATATCCCTTCAGACTTTTCCTTTAATTTCCCCTATTATAAATATCTTGTGTTAATGTGACCTATTTGTTAAAATTGATGAGTCAGTGTTGAGATTGATTTAAACTGAGTGATTGATTTATACTTATTGTAGTGCTGGGGATTGAATCCAGGGTTGCTCTTCCACAGAGCCACATCCCCAACCCTTTTATTTTTATTTTTATTTTTATTTTTCATACTGGGGATCGAACTCGTGACTCTGCGCTTTGCAGGCAGGTGCTTGTGCCGCTGAGCTATATCCCCAGCCCCTTATTTTTTATTTTGAGACAAGTTCTCCCTAAAATTGTCTAAGTTGTGATCCTCCTGTCTCAGTCTCCAGAGAGCTGGGATATACAGGCATGTGACACTATGCCCTGTAATATTTCTTATTAACTTTAAAGTGCGTAATTTGCATTAAGGTTCACTGTTTGTCCTATACATTCTGTGGATTTTGACAAATAATGTAAGACAGGTACACACCAGTATAGGTCCATATAGCATAGTTTTACTACCCTGAAAATCCTGTATTCTGCCTATTCAATCTGCTACTGCTAATCATTGGCAATTAATAATCTCTTTATTGTCTCCATAGTTTTGCCTTTTTCAGAATACCTTATAGTTGATTTCATACTCTATGTAGCCTTTTTAGATTGTATTCATTAACTTCTGTATTTCTGCCTGGCTTGATTTCATTGGATTAATGTTAAATTTATATATCACTTGGAAATAATTAACATTTTTGTGCTTTTTTTGGATTGTCTTAAATTTTTAAAAATAATTCTGGTTGAGATTCTTCCAAAGTATTTTATTGTATTCTAATTTTTTTGCTATTATGTGATTTTTCTCCTCCATTTTTTGAGTTGCATTTTGTATATATGGAGGCTATTTTCATATTAATTTTATATCTACTTTGCTGAATTTTGTTTATTTTATTATTGTTTCTCATCTTCTAGATATATTATCCTATCTGCAGAAAAAGAGATTGTTTACTTTCTTTCATTGTCTGTATTTCTGATTATTTTCTGTCGTTTTGTTTTGTTTTTTTTTGTACTAGAAATTGAACACAGGAGCTCACGCTTGCTGGGCAGGTGCTGTGCTGCTGAGCTATATCCTTGGCCTTATTTTCTGTCTTTTCTGATTTATTTCTAGTACTATGTTAGCTTTCCATTCTTTAAAGGATGAAAGGCTAATTTTGGCTTAAGGGTTTAGAGGTTTCAGTCCATGATTGGCTCCATTGCTTGTAGGCCTATGAGAGGCAAAACATCATGGTGAGGAGTGTGTGGTGGAATAAAGCTACTCACCTCACAGCAGGTGGGAAGTGAAGGTGCGAGAGAGGAAGGGCCAGGGCGCAAGTGTACACACACACACACCAGTGACCTAACGTTCCTTTACATGAATGCCTTTACCGTTTCTCTTTTCTCCACTATATGTAAAATACTGGCTTTAGGGCCTTTTATTATATGACCCAGTTAAGCATTAATTTTGATTTTCTTAAGTGTTTTTGTGAGTAATGGGTATTGAATTATCTTGAAGGCCTTTTTGACATCTGTAGAAATAAACATGTTTTGCTGGGTGTGGTGGTGCATGCCTGTGATCCTAGCACTTGGGAGGCTGAGGCAGGAGGATCATTTTGATTTTGAGGCCAGCCTGGGCTACAAAGTGATTTCAAGACCAGCCTGAACTATGTAGTGAGACCCTATCTCAAAAAAAGACCACCCCCCAAAAAAGAGAAATAAATATATCTTCACTGTGAGATCAGTTAATCCTGTACTGTTTTCCCCTCAATGTTGAACCATTTTGTGTTACCAGGAAAAAGAATCTCACTTGTGTTAAGGTTCACTTTTTGTTCAGTGCACACACACACTCATGTATTTATGTATGTGCACACACAGTTTGCTTGTTGTGTTCTGTTTGCTAATTTTTACTGTAATTTTTGCATCCCTCTGAATAAACAGGGTTTGAGCTATACTTTTAAAAATGCTAATGTATGCTTATGTCTCATTACTTCTGTATTTAAATTGTAAAAATTTTACCAAAACTATACCCCACCTCCATTGAACCCAAATTAGAACCAGTTAAAGTGAACAAGGACACTAAGTCTGTCTTCATGGTGAGTTTCATAGATCATTTTTTTCTTGATTCTGAAGGCTAATCTGTTTGCCGAGGTAGAGTTGGTACTTTCACTCGATGGTTGGGCTGCATTTTTTTTTTAGTGTGTATGATTGTGCTGCTAGAGAGATTGACAATAGTTAAAGTCATGTACATTGCTTTATAACTTACAAAGTTATAAAGAATTACTCATTGATTCTCAAGGCAGATTTGTGAATTAGAAATGGCAGATGTTTGTTTTCACTTTTTTTTTTTTTTTTTGTCTTTTTGTGACAGGGTTTTCCTATGCAGTTCAGGCTGGCCTTGAACTCACTTTGTAGTGGAGCCTGGCCTCAAAGCCGCAAACTTGCAGCAATCCTCCTTCCTCAGCCTCCCAAATGCTGGGATTACAGGTGTGCACCACCACACATGGCCTTCACTTTTATTTCTATACTTTAAAAAAATATTTCTAATTCACTTTTTAATTTTTAAAATACTTTGGTTTTTTGAAACAAGGTCTCGCTGTGTAGTCCAGGCTGACCTTGAACTCACTGGGTATCCCAGGCTGGCCTGGAACTTGTGGCGATCCTCATGCCTCAGCCTCTCAAGTGCTGGGATTGAAGGAATGTGCCATCACGTCTGGCTGTTTTCACATTTAGTGGAGGGAATTCAGAGTCTCATGTGTTAAGTGACTACCTACAAACTTTCTCATCAATGATGAGCCAAAACGTCTTAATACAGTGACAAATTTATTTTTATTTATTTATTTTTTTTACAGTGACAAATTTATATTGAACAGTTTCAACTTTTACTTACTTTCACTAATTTAGTTAAGAGTTGCAGAGCACTGCCAGGCACTGTGCTAAATATAGTGGTACCTTGGTTCATGGATGGTTTCATTTGTGAACAGTTTGGTTTGCAAACAGAAACGTTTGGCAAAATTTTTTGTTTGCAAACTTTGCAATGAGTGTGGAACACCTCCATGGCCATCTTTCCCAGAATTAAGTTCATGAATCAAGGAACCACTGTATTGAGTATATAACAGAAAATGTAGACATACTGTTTGTGTTTAAAGCTCTCATAGTCTCTTTGTAAACAGTAATATTATATAAGTTGACTGCATTAAAATAAGCAGAATGCTTGAAATGTGTGTCTGGAGGCATTAACAAAAAAGATAGTTTTATCTTGAGTATTAAAAATTTGCTAAGCAGAAGTGGGAAATCACCAGTTGAGAAATTGCCATAGCAGATGAGTGGGATCATGATAAGAGCTTGGTGTATTTGAGGAGATAAGTTGATGGCTATACAGTATGGTATTGGTGGTCAGTTGGCATCAGATTGTGATAAAACTAGTGTTTATACTTTCTTTAATATTGTGAAGTTGACTTTTAGAAGGATTTGATATAATAAAAGTCAAATAAACACAAAAGTAAAGAGAAAAAATAGTGTAAGAAACTCCCAGTTAGAGTCAACTGTGATTACTGTTTGCCATGTTTGCTTCACCTGTTCCTTTCTTCTTTTTCTGTGATGACTTAAACATCCCACACATGTCAGTTTTCCTCTACATATGTTGGTATAGTGAGCATAATATATAGGCTGGAAAGGAGGAAAGAGTTGTCCAGAAAGTAGTATGTTGGTGCAAATTGAAAGACAGACCCTCTGTAGTTAAAACAGCCCAGGTTTGGATCATAGCTTACCGGTTCATATCATAGTTTGCTGCTGCTAGTGTAGAATCTTAGTATCTTTGAACATCAGTTTCTACTTTTATAAAATGAGGGCAGTAACTTTTTCAATGCAGGGTGTTATGAGACTTTATCATATTTATATCTACTCCTTTTCTCCCATTTTGAGCAAGTAGTAGCTTATTTCAGTAGTTCAGAGAGTAGCAGTGATCATGATAGTTCAGAAGTGACAAATTTAATTGGTGGTGCTAGCAACAGTGGGTTTGCAAAGAAGACACACTTGAACTTCATTTTAATACAGGAATGAAATTCGCTGACCTGAGATTGGGAATAGAGTAAGGAATCGAAGTGAAAGGAAGAGCAAGAGTAGTCCAGTCAGGGCTACATGTTATGCTTGAGAAGATAGCCTGTATTTGTGTCTGAAGTGGAGAGCATATCATGGAGAGGACTTGGGGGAAGTTTAGCTCAAGATTGAAATTTTGAAGCAGAGGTCATTATGTAAGTAATCTCGATCTGGTAGTCTATAGTTTTAAAATTTCATGTCATTCTAACCAGGGTGACAGGTCCTGAGAACGAGGTGCCCACGGATGAAAAGGAAAGTAAGACAAGAAAAACGAGAGGCAGAAGTCTGGGATCAGGGGGCTTACAGCCTCTCGGCCTGCAGCCCCGATTACCAATCCTGTCACCTTTTATTGAGCTAGAACCAAGGGCTTAGCTAGTACAAATGGGTGGATACCAAACGTTTTAGTAATTAAAGCATTATTCTTCTCCAGTTCTGCTTCTTATGTTGCTGGCAACAATCCCCAGGTGGGCCTCCCACACCCAGCACTACGCTTACTCAGTTCAGCTGGGGGTTATAAGTTGACTACCAGTTACCAATCCACTACAATCACAGTCATTACTTCCCAATAATTGGGATCTCCTGAAATTCAAATACACTCTTATCTTCAGGTGAAAGGTTTCAGTTAATTTTTGCAACAATAAACAAATCATTGTGTGTCCTCAGTGCTTTCTAATCAAAGAATGTCCTTCTCTACAATTTCAGATTATAGAAACCCTTTTTCTAGTGAGATCTTACCGCATTGTTCCCATGGGGATAAGAGACACTGAAGACTTGAAAGGCACAGTCTAGACAATAAAACAAAGTATCAGAAATACACTTGATGTTGCATTTCCTCACTGCTTTCACATAAAGTTCATTTCTGTGGCTCATAGTGTATTTGCTCTTAATGGAGTCCACTTACTTGGCTGTCTCATTCTCTAGTCAGTCTATGATTCATGACTTGCTGAAATAATACATGGGTAGCACTAACAGCATCCATAGCACAGTGATAATGTTAAATGTGCTGAAATGATCTGGAGCATGTTCTTTATATTTTTGTACTATCTGTAAATAAGTGTATCTTACGTTAAACTTTAGTATTTATGTCGACCAATTTTATTTTTCTTCTAGTGCCTATGTTGAAAAATACCTATTGGAGAAGTCTAGACTCGTTTATCAAGAGCATAATGAACGGTACATGTTTTTATTTGTATATTTAGATCAAGTTAATATTAGTGTCATGCAGATTGACTTGTAGGTTACTTGTATGTTATGACCATCAGTTCATTTTACATCATGTATACCTTACGTGTAATTGCTATTTCTTTCAAGAAAGAATACTGCATTATTTTAGAGGCTGTGAAGAGGAGAATATTTGGTATATAATGGAAATTGTTGTTTATTCTGGATTCTAGGCAAACTATCACAACAGGAAGACTGTTTCTCAGGTTTCCTTTGGACCATGGTTCCATTTTCTAATTACATAAAGATTTAAACAAAGATCTTAATGCTGTTATAATATTTGAGACCTGTGGGACTTTAAAGATGATACGTGTAGTATCATTCAGATGAAGAAACTGAAAAAGAGAAGTAAATGAGTAGTTTTATGCCACAGTGAGACATAATAATGTTCAGAGTTTGAAGTTAAACAGCCTATAATCAAATCTTGGATAAGCCTTGGACATCTCACTTCTCTGCTTCTTAAGTATTCTTATTTTACAAATGGAAAACCATTCTAGAGTTGGTCATACCTGGTAAGAATTTATCCATTAGTTGTAGGTTATCTCACTTATTTCTTACAAACTTTTTTTTATTTCTGTAGAGTTGTTAGTCATGTTCTCCTTTCTTTAGTTCCTACATTTGAATATATCTCTTGCTTGTTTCTTGCATCAGTTTATTTTTTTAAATTTTTAAATTTATTTTTTTTTCCGGTACCGGGAATCGAACTCATGACCTCGCGCTTGCTAGGCAGGCGCTGTGCTGCTGAGCTAAATCCCCAGCCCCTCTTTCATCAGTTTAGATAAAGGTTAATTTTGTAGTTATTTTCAAAGAACCATTTTTAAAAATTGATGTTCTTTATTTTATTCTATTCTCTAATTCATCTCTAAGACTATTCTCTTGTGTTTGCTTCGGTTTATTGTTTCTTAGTTCTTTCTTTTATTTTATTTTTTGAGACTGGATATTGTTGTGTAGCTCAGGCTGGTCTTGAACTCACTATGTGGTCCAGGGTTGCCTGGAACTTGCAGCAGTCCTTCTGCATCAGCCTCCTGAGTGCTGGGATTACAGGTGTGTGCCACCACATTCAGATGAGCTGCTTTTCTTGAATAAACACTCCCTGGATTGCTGCAAACTTTTTGGTTAATTTCCGGAGTTCTGCAAAAGTTTATTATTCTTTTTTTTTTTTATTTTGAGACAGGATCTCACTATGCAGTTTAGGCTGGCCTTGAGCTCACTTTGTAGCCCAGGCTGGTCTCGAACTCACAACAATTCTCCTGCCTCAACCTCTCAAGTACTGGTATTACAGGTGTGCATCACTACGCCTGGCTGCAAAAGTTATATCTGACAAATTTGCTAGGTTCCTCATTGATGTTAGGGAATACAGAATTTTCAGAAGTCCTCATTTTGCTATTTTTCTGTCTTCATCTCTCTTTTCTATTCATCGTCTAAAGTATCATTCTGTAGGAGTACTTAAATATTGAATTACCACATATTAAAACAGGAAATAAAGTGAACATATTTTACTAGTAAATGTTTTATTTATTTTTTGTTAAGTGAGTACCATAAATCATGTTCATTATAAAGCTATGCTTTTCTTTGTTTCCAACAGGAATTACCATGTCTTCTATTACCTCCTGGCAGGAGCAAGTGAAGAAGAGAGGTTAGCATTCCACCTTAAACAACCAGAAGAGTATCATTACCTCAATCAGGTGAGAGTTCTTGAAAAGCATCTTGAAATGTAGAACAGAATTGAAAAAGGCTTTTGTTCCAAAACCTGGTAATGGTTTTTTTTTTTTTTTTTTGGAGACAGGATCTCGCTTGTAGTTCAGGCTGGCCTTGAACTCATGACAATGCTCCTGCCTCAGCCTGCTGAGTGTTGGGCTTACAGGCATGCACCACCATGCCTGTCCTGGTAGTGGACATTAACTAGCATTTTCATACATGTAATCTAAAAATTTATGTCTGTAATTTTCAAATTAAAAATTCCTATCCTTCTATGAATGTTAAAAAGTTAACTTAGTTCTTTTTGTGTTTTGTGAGAATCTTTAAGAAAAAAATAATGATTTTGATCTTTCCATATCAGAAAAGTGGTATATTCTTTCCAGAGTGACTGTTACACATCCCAGAAGGATAAATGTTAGTAATGATTAATGCTTGTCTTTTGCAAGGGATTACTTGAAATCTGATTGGCATGCTTTGCAGTCTAGTACACTTACCGCTTTACATGGTATTATGATACTGACTTGAGTATGACTATATAATTTGGTAAATAGTTCTTATAAATATTCAGCACGAAGCTCTCAAAGGCAAGTGACTTAGAGAAGTTGAGTCTTTCCTTTAAACTCTAGAAACTTACCTCTAATCTTCTATAAAAGGAGTGATTTTCACAACTTTTCATAACATTGATTTCTCTTAATTTTATTTCTCATATTAACCAACATTAATGGAATTAGTAGAACAATAGACCATTTAAATAATATATTGTTTTTCCTTAGTTTTTGTTTGAGGCAAGATATAATATCCATGGAAAAATTCTTTTGTTGCAGTTAATGAAATCTTACATAGATTTTTGCAACTAACTGACACTTTGATAATGACTCAAAGATTGTAGTATGGCTGGGTATGGTGGCACATGCCTGTAGTTCCAGGACTTGGGAGGTCAAGGCAGGAGGATTGCCATGAGTATGATGCCATCGTGGGCTACATAGTGAGTTCAGGGCCAGCCTGAGTCACATAGCAAGACTGTGTCTCAAAAACAAAAATAACAACAACAAACAGTGTAGTAAGAATTTAGGGTTATGAAAGTAACATCTTACACTTTTCCCAAGATACATAGTGTGCTATATAACTGGTATTTCTTTATTTTGAAATTAAATGTTAATATAAACCATCTTTATTAATATATCAGGAATTTCAAAATTATGTGAAATACTACTTTCTGTTATAATACCAGGTATTCTCACAGTGGAATTAAGTAAAATTTTAAAAACTTATAATTCAACTTTTGAATTTTTCTCTCCTGTTTAAATTATTTGCTTTGTATTTGTGTGATAAAATGATTTATTTTTTAAAGTAATGTGAGATGATAGTTATTAGTAATAGAAAATACATCTTTTTTACTACCTTTTTTTATCTTTTTATAATCAGTGGTCATTGCATTCTTGTTATAATATCAGTCTTAGGATATGGGACCAGCAGTTAATGTAAGAATCAGAGTCACAAATCAGGCCCCCCAAAATCAAAGACCCAATCCAAAAATGGGCATCTGAGATGAATATATACTTCTCAGATGAAGAAATACAAATGGCAAATAAATATATGAAAAAATGTTTAACATCATTGGTCATTTGAGGAATGCAAATTAAGACTACACTGAGAGGGGCTGGGGATTTAGCTCAGCGGCAAAGCGCCTGCCTGGCAAGCGCAAGGTCGTGAGTTCGGTTCCCGGTACCGGGGGGTG